GGGGGAAGGGGGGGGCAGGAATTTCGACCAATCAGCTACACCAGTACCGCGCGGAGCTCGCCACTATACGTGCTCCGAGACTACTTTTACCTCGTTGTCCTTGAATGAACGGTGCATTGAGTTATCTCACAAATCAGTTGTACTAAATAAATGGGCCCTTAAATGTGCATCACCCAAAAGTAACTTTAGGCTTTCAACCAATGAGGCACTCACCGCTGTCGTTGATGCTGAACGAGGCGCTAAACATCCGAAACACTTTCTTGACCATGGTTACCGCGGGTACTTCCCTTTTTCGGGATGCTATGTGGTGAGATTTGAACCTCCTTCGCGAAAGATCACTATTTCACTTTCTCACCGGAGCCTACACGCACACACCCCCGCAAAGTACTCTTGGCACCTTCACTTCGCCACCAGCATCCCCGTGCGAGCTCCTGGTCCAGGTGGACACGGACAGGCCTCTGCACGCTGCGATGCTCTGTGCCGGAGTGAGGCCGGCCCGCTCCTCTCGGCCACCGTATAAGCGGGCCGAGCGCAAGCGGGCGGGGCGGGGCGGGGCAGGGCGGGGCGGGGCATGCCTCCTGATAGGTGTGAGTATGCTCAGCAGAAAGACACAACGAACAGACCTACCTGTCCGGGCGGGACACACAGGAGGGGGGAACGGGGAATAATGCTCAGCCAGTGAGGTCGACAGTTGTGAGGTCCCCAGAACGTCGCCCATTAAAACGGCTGTACCGACATGCAGGGATAAGTTGACTTCCCTTTCAAGCCCATCGCTCCCGTCGTTCTTTGAAAAGTCCCTGCTCTCGGCTGATATCCCTGGCAGCGCCGGCCGGGCCTCCCGAGCACGTGGTGGGCCGAGCCGACTATTGGCAGTGTAGCTCGCAATAATCGCACGCGGCACTGCTCGGGGTACTCGCCGGACGGGACGACTCTCGGGAACAGGTTTCTGCGCTCCTCCACGCACACTCCGGTCACTCCATCCGTGAACTTGGCCGTGGCTGGAGCCTGGCTGGCGCCTGGCTGGAGCGGGAGGATGGCCCCGGTGCGGCGCTCTGGAGCTGGCCAAGCCTCGGGCCAAGCTGGCCGCCATAGTGCGGCTGCTGCGGCAGTAGCGATCCGCTAATCCGGCCTTGTTGATCTGGGAGTAATCTGGGAGTCATTCGGGAGTAATCCGGGTTGACACATAGGCTCCCATGCGGTAATCCGTGTAATCCAATCCGAGGTAACTCCGTAGGTACACAAGATCTTGAGTAGTTTTCCCTTCGGACAAGCAGCGGGCGTCGCACGCGAGGTCCCGCCCGACGCGGAGGACAAAAAGAAGAAGAAGATAACTGGAACTTTATGCTCCGGGAACATTTCTGCAGTCGCCGAGCGCGGCCGAAATTCTGGACCATCCACGCAATAAAAATCGGCGCGGAGGCCGCGCTTCCGTGCTTATTTGTATACAGTTTGCTTGGCACACGCCACTGATAAAGACTACCCTGCTCGACCCTCGAAGGTGTTGCCACCGAAAACAACCGCTGGCAACAAATCGATCGACGCGTTGTTAATCAGAAAATGACGTGATAGATAGCACGGACACACCCATTTTATCGCAACTGGTCCTATTCAAAAGTCTAAGTGGGAGTCCTGAATCATATTGTCCTTTCGATTTACTTTGCGGGATGAAAACAAGTTGTGTCCCACCATACGTACCCGTGAGCTTTATTAGGCACTGCCGTGACGAGGCTTAAGCAGATTGTTTTAATAAAGTGCGACGAGTGTCACGTCCTCTATCGAGTAGAGGCGAGCGGTGGCGCCCGCCGGCCCGGGACCGAAGGGCGGTGTACGTCAGCCGCTAGACGTGGGGCGGGGCGAGGCGGGG